TGTGATGACGTCACGTACGCGCTTTCGTCGAGCGCACTTTTGTCTACCGCGGTTTTGTGGTGGAACCATTTCAGACAAATGGTCCAATCTCTTCTTTAAAAACTTCAGTGTTGGGGCATTCACAACTTCTGGAGGCAAGTTGTTCCACTGATTAATTGTTCTAACTGTAAAGAAAATTCTCCTTCATTGTCTCTTTGATTTGTTGAAGCACCTTTGGATTTTATGACAGAATTCAGTATAGCATATCTTGGCTTGGGAATCTTTGCCCATTGTTGCCAAAGTGCTCCAAATCTGTCAGACTACTAAATCATCTCTTGTGGAGCCTCTTCAGGTTTTCAATTGGATTCACATCTGGGCTCTCGCTGGGTCATTCCACAACTTTGATCTTCTTCTTGTGAAGCTGTTCTTTTATTGATTTGGAGGTATGCTTCGAATTGTTCTTCTGTTGAAAGGTGAAATTCCTCTTCATCTTCAGCGTTTTAACAGAGGCCTGAATTTTTTTTTTTGCCAAAATTCACTAATATTTGGAACTGTTTATAATTTCCTCTGCCTTGAGTAAATCCTCAGTTCCAGCTGAAGAAAAGCAGCTCCAAAGCATAATGTTGCCACTACTACACTTCACTGTGGGCATAGTGTACTTTTGGTGATGCACTGTTGCGTTGTTGCACCAAACATACTTTTTGGAATTTCAGATTTTCCTATAGCCCTCAGGCTTGAAGTCAGTGTAGGAATTTTGCATTTGTATGGATCATGTCAACTTCCTTTGAAGAGATGTTAATGAAAAATGGACCCTTTCTGTTGCATCACAGATTGAATCAGATTGAAGGAGATGGTGTCCCCCATTCTCAAGAACCCATTCTTGGAACCAACAGTATAGCAGTTAGACTTATATACCGCTTCATAGAGCTTTCAGCCCTCTCTAAGTGGTTTACAGAGTCAGCATATTGCCCCCAACAATAATCCGGGTCCTCATTTTACCCATCTCGGAAGGATGGAAGGCTGAGTCAACCCTGAGCCGGTGAGATNTTCCCCAGCCAGCGAATGCTGGCTGGGGAATTCTGGGAGTTGAAGTCCAGACATCTTCAAGTGGCCAAGGTTGAGAAACACTGATCTAGTCCAACGTCCCATTCAAGCAGGAGACCCTACACCATTTCTCACAAATGGCAGTCCAATCTCTTCTTGAAAGCTTCCAGGGATGAAGCTCCCACAACTTCTGAAGGTGATGCTGTTCCATTGGTTGATTGTTCTCACTGTCAGAAAGTTCCTCCCTATTTCTAGGTTGAATCTCTCCTTGGTCAGTTTCCATCCATTATTCCTTGTCTGGCCTTTGGAAAATAGTTTGACCCCCTCCTCTCTGTGGCAGCCCATCCAATATTGGAGCATAGCTTTCATGTCTCTCCTGGTCCTTCTCTAGACTATCCATGCCCAGTTCCTGTAACTATTCTTCATATGTTTCAGTCTCCAGTCCCCTAATCATCCTGGTTGTTCTTCCCTGCACTTTTTCTCAACATCTTTTTTATAGTGTGATGACCAAAACTGGATGCAGTATTCTAGGTATGGTCTTACTAGGGCTTTATAGAGGGCTTTATACAGTATATATTACCTCACTTGATCTTGATTGTATCCCTCTGTTAATGCAATTTAGTATTGCATTGGTTTCTTTGGCTGCAATCTGCTGGCTCATATTTAGCTGGTTGTCCACTAAAACTCCAAGATCCTTCTCACAGTCACTGCTATTAAGCCTGGTGATGCTTGGCAACCTGGTTCACACTTACGATCATTGCAGTATTTCAGGCAAATGCGATCCCATTTGCAACTTTTTGACAAGCAGAGACAATGGGGAAGCCAGATTTACTTAACCATAGTACTAACTTATCAACTGCAGAGATTCACTTAACAACCATGGCAAGGAAAGTCGTAAGATGGAGCAAAACTCACTTAACAAATGTCTCACTTAAAAGTTGGCTTTCCCAGCAAGCCAGCCTGGCCTGAATAGAATAAAATATAGGATTAATTTGGTTGTTAATTTTAATTTA